AAATCTTCATTACATTGTGTTGCTGAACATATTCACTGCCTTCAGATATACTCTGGTTGACAATCAATACATTAAGTGCCGATATGCACTCATAATCTCTTTGTTGCCAACAAACAAACAACTAAACAATTCAGTATGACCACTAATTTTGCTCCACTCTCTCCACTGTTTGCGTTTTTTTTTTTTTTTTTTTTTGCGTGACAGTGAAAATGATCTGTACCCTTCGAAGAACAAAACAGCAGCTGTGAAATATTTTTTTTGTAAAATGGTAAAACATGTTTTTTAATTCATAATTTTTGTATATGTTCTCACCTTCTTCCGATATAAATCCATGCCATTCCTTGTTTTTTGATCGGGATCATTTGCGGTCCAATATGGGAATCATTTCCGGTCTGGGATCATTTGCGGTTCAATTTGGGGATCATTTGTGGTCCGGGATCATTTGCGGTCCTTGGATCATTTGCGGACCTGTACAGACCTTATTACACTATGGACAGAAGGTTGGAGGGGGGTGGGGGGCTGGTGGGGCTGTTTTGCAATGATTTAGTTTGTAGTTCTTCCATGAAGCTCTAATATTCTCTCAGGGCAAAAATTTCAGATATGAAAGAAAAAGTTTCCTTGAGCGTGAATTTGAGATACCATCTCATAGCTAAAGGTTATGTGTTTTTGATTGCCTTATATTTTATTTTATTTTTATTTTTGTTATATGTTGCAGAGGTGTTTGGAAAGACTCAAAACTGGGAGACAAAAATCTGTAGATAGATTTAGGCAAATGGATGACTCTTCCTTAGTGAAGGAAGTAATGAATGAGGAGTGGATACGACTAAGTGAAGAGAACAAGGAGCTTCCACTATGGCGCCCAACCAGAGAGTCTTGCACACCATTTGCTGGGGTAAGGATGATAGTCCAGCAATATTTAATTAGCCATCGTGCCTACCATCTCTGAGAATATGGAGTTTCTGTTCAGGCATGTACATGTACCTATATAGAGCAGGGTAGAAACTGGTTTAGTGAGAAGAGATTGGTAGACAGAGAGCAATGCCATGAGATTCAAGGTGTGGTCCCTGCAATGTGCTGCACAATATTTCTGGTGGTTGATAAATGGCTTAAAGTAACTTATTGCAGAGGGTATCACAGGTTTCCGCCTGCAACCATTGCTGGCCCTTACAAACACTGTAAATCCCTGGGATATTTCTTCAGATGTACCATACTTTGATAATTATTTTATGATACCAGGTATTTTTTTTTTATTAAAGTAACATGTTTGTTTTGTCCCTTACCTTCTAGCTTGAACTGGAGGATTCTAAAGATAGTTCACTTGATGAAGTTCTTTCTCTAATGGATGAGATACAAAGGGAACTAATGGAAGAAGGTCAGGATGGAATGACATAGTTTTGTACTTCATAGATAAAATTAGTGTTGTAAGAAATTTTTGGCAACTACTCATTCATCTTGATTTTAGAACAATTTGTATAAATGTGAATGTAATTCAATATAGAGTTTAAGAAAGATTTTTATGGCAAACATTGCAAATTGTCTCTGACAATCCACCATATCCAAAAAATCTTGACTCATTCACAGCAAATACAAATGAGTGAGGGCTTGAAATTGCGACCCACTGGTCGCGTCGAAATTGCCCTATAATAAATTGCAAACCCTTGAGCATTAAGTACATCATGTATGGGTAAGGATTGTATCTCTTCTATTTGATTTTGTGATCTGGCGACTAAAAATTTGCATTTGGCAACTATTTTTTACCACTTAGTNAAGATTTTTATGGCAAACATTGCAAATTGCCTCTGACAACCCACCATATCCAAAAAATCTTGACTCATTCATAGAAAATACAAAATGAGTGAGGGCTCGAAATTGCGACTCACTGGTCGCGTCGAAATTGCCCTATAATAAATTGCAAACCCTTGAGCATTAAGTACATCATGTATGAGTCAGGATTGTGTCTCTTCTATTTGATTTTGTGATCTGGCGACTAAAAATTTGCAATTGGCGACTATTTTTTACCACTTAGTCGCCAAATGGCTACCGAAAAATAGTCTAAGACAGACCGGAAAAGTTTAATTTTTGCCGTTAACATCATTCTTAACCCACTTATTATGCAGCATGCCAAGCATTGTGTAGCATGCAAACACAGACAGATTTCTGGCTTTTGTTTCACACTGACAAAAAATACTGTAGAGGACCAAGAGCCAGAAATCTGTCTGTGTTTGCTGGCTAGTATTTTGGTTGACTGGTATATTTTCAATACACAACTTTAGTCAGATAGATATCCTAGGGCCTGTTTCTCGAAAGCCCCGGAAACTTTTCAGGTCTGCAAAGCCATTTTTAGTTAATCTGTATCTAAAAACAGTAAGGTGTATATGCCTGAAACTTCTTGTATGAAAGGAACCTCTTGTCACATTAAGAATATGCAAGTAAAACAGCTAATGTAATCATAAGGTTTGAAATTTTGCTTTGGCTTTCCAGGTGTGAAAACTTTTCAGGACCTTCGAGAAATGGGCCCTAGAAGCCTAAGTTTAGAGAAAATTAAAATAAATAGCTTTAGGTTTAGTAAATTTGTACATTTGTCGTAGCCTCTTCAAAAGTATATAATTTTCTTTTGTTATCAGAGAGAAAGATTCTTGCTCGATACAATGAAAATCTGATGTTTGAAGAAGCCTCCTTGTGTGCAGCTATTGAAAGTCTGAAAACAGATGAATTTGTTACGTGCCCAGTCTGTAAGAGGTGTGAAGTCAATGGTCGCTTAATGGTAGAGTTTCTCAGTAGTTTGAGTTGGTTCGTTGTAACGCAGGCTCGTTGGTAGCTCTAGTTTCCATGGTGTAAAGGGGCAGCATAATACATGTAAATGTTGTTTTTGTACATGTAACAAGTAGGGTCACTGGGGGATGTTTTTTGTGAAAGAATTTCAATCAGGGATTGCAAATGATTTACATTCAAACATTGCCATTGAAGCAATGAGCAGTGCCAAACATGGTAAACAAACAGCTATGGACAAACTTCATTTAACAATGAAATGTTGTTACAAGACTATCAGTACCTTTAAATTTGTGTTGTTTCCTTAGTAATCCAACTATTTTTAAAATTTGACTGGCAGAAAACAAAATTCTGCTGAACACTTGTGGACTCTACACTGGAGTCAAAGTGACTCCCTGTAGGAATTCTTTGGACTCACAGATTAGCCCTACAGACCTCAAGACTCATTTTCCACAAATCATCTAGTTTGCAACAATGTTCCCCCTTTGTATATACTGTCAATGTTAATCCCTTGCTGCAGTATTCCAAAAAAATCATATTCAAATGGATCATTTGTCCAGTGACCATGATTTCGATTTTGNTATATAATTTTCTTTTGTTATCAGAGAGAAAGATTCTTGCTCGATACAATGAAAATCTGATGTTTGAAGAAGCCTCCTTGTGTGCAGCTATTGAAAGTCTGAAAACAGATGAATTTGTTATGTGCCCAGTCTGTAAGAGGTGTGAAGTCAATGGTCACTTAATGGTAGAGTTTCTCAGTAGTTTGAGTTGGTTCGTTGTAAGGTGGGCTCTTTGGTAGCTCTAGTTTTCATGGTGTAAAGGGGAAGCATAACAAATGTTGTTTTTGTACATGTAACAAGCAGGGTCACCGGGGGATGTTTTTTGTGGAAGAATTTCAATCAGGGATTGCAAATGATTTACATTCAAGCATTGCGGCTGAAGCAATGAGCAGTGCCAAACGTGGTAAACAAACAGCTATGGACAAACTTCATTTAACAATGAAATGTTGTTACAAGACTATTAGTACCTTTATATTTGTTTTGTTTCCTTAGTAATCCAACTATTTTTAAAATTTGACTGGCAGAAAACAAAATTCTGCTGAACATTTGTGGACTCTACACTGGAGTCAAAGTGACTCCCTGTAGGAATTCTTTGGACTCACAGATTAGCCCTACAGACCTCAAGACTCATTTTCCACAAATCATCTAGTTTGCAACAATGTTCCCCCTTTGTATATACTGTCAATGTTAATCTCTTGCTGCAGTATTCCAAAAAAATCATAGTCAAATGGATCATTTGTCCAGTGACCATGATTTCGATTTTGCTTATACTAATANGATATTTCCAGTGACGAATAGAACAGCATCTACCAGAATTTGCGAATTTCTTTTGGGCAATTTCCGTTCCATTTAATTTTCCTCCCAGAATTTTCAATTCAATGGTTCGCCTTACAAAAATTCAGCAATTTTCGGATCAGCAATCTTTCCAGGAAATTTGCCTACCAGAATTTTTGGTTGAATGGAAAGCGCCCTGTGTTTTACCCAAGAAATTACATTATAAATGGAGATATCTTTCTTTCATCGTTTTTGTCTGTTTCTTTATGTATTCATTTGTTTTTCTGTTTTTTTTTTTTTGGCAGGGAAGGACAGTGTTTGTCTGAACCGGAATTTTGTGTATCTTTTGTCAAAGAGCTGGGAGAAAGCAATCTAGTTTCACTGTGCAAGGTAACGCCATCTTAATTTTATTGTAAAGACGAGAAGTTATATACTTTGAAACAGTTCTAAAAAGAATAATTGTTTTAAACTGAAATTTCTAAGCCATTAGTGTATTTCTCTTTTTGTTAGAATTCTACTCTCGTGATTATATTGGCTTTTTTTTAGTGTTCATTCGGAGGCTGCCGTTGCGCGTATCAAGGTTTTAGTGCAATAACAGAACATAACGTGAAATCCTGAGCTCAAAAGAGCACCCAGTTTTAATTTTTTTTGTGTTGGCGAAAATGATAAGTGTTCTCCCAAGGCTTATACGCCAGCGCATCAGAAAGCAAATTGACGTCAGTTTTTCATGCGTCTGTCCTGTTACTGATCATGAATTTCGTCATTACATTGTCAAAGTACGAAGTGATAGCCGGGTGGATCCGCAGACTACAGTGTACTTTGATAATGTTATGACGAAATTCATTGTCAATAATAGGACATTACAACTGTTTTGTTTTGCCATAGATTTATTAATAAGTTGTGTACAGAATTTGTTAGATATTTTTATCAGTTTAATAGATGTAAATAAAGTTATGTAATATCTTGCCACCATTTGTGAATTACAAGTGTATTAAAAGTAACGTGAGGTCCCTATTGGCGAAACGTTGGTCGGGTTTCTAATATTATTGACAAACTGCATTCTTTTGTAGAATGTTTTGAAAAAAGCAGATCGCTAGCAACAATTTTGCTTACGTTTCCGTTTTCTTCAGAGTGGCAGCAAACTGCTCACCTGAAAAGGAACCCCGATTGTCACTGGTCTCGACTTGCGGGAAAATGTTTTCACTATGCAAGAATTAGACCATGAAAATATTTAACTAATACCGTGTTTTAAGGTTAGACAGTTTTTCAGTATAGTATAATAGCAGAATACCAGTTGTGCACTTTGGATATTACTAAATTTTGTGACGTTTCGACCCTACACGCCCGGCTGTCCTCTCCAAACCCAGTGAAAATCTAGGGCCCCCTTTCTCGAAAGTCAGTCCCTGTAGCTTAAGGACCCGAAACCATATTGTAAGATCTAAATCTAAGGAATAGTAGTGCGGGTTCTGGCTCAAGAACCGGTCTCTTCTGTTTCGTTTACCGACGTTTTTATTCGTTGACTTCAAAACTACTACAGTATCTCGATACACCCCGCGAACAGAGCCTCTCAGTTTATCTCTTTTTGCTTTATTTTTACAAAACACATGTACCGTAAGAAAAGGCTCTGCTTGCAGGGTGATCTCGATGTTGAATGTAAACGCGGCAAATAAAACAACGGCTTTTCGGGACCGGTACTGACTACCGGGACTTTAGAGAAAGGACCAATGTTCATGCACAGACTATGCGTTTTACTTACGGCCGGTGCCCCCAATTAGCACAACAGTGCTAAAGACATTTGACACTTAAATAAAGTTTTTTTATTTATTTTATTTTTATTTATGTTGTTATATGTTATCTGTCAAAAAAACAATTATATTTATACACATCACCACTTGTGTTTTGCGCGCTAAAATATTCTAGCTTGCGGCGAATCATTGCCAGATTACCTGCGGTTTTTTTTTTTTTTTTTTTTTTTTTTTT